CCCAGCCTGTACATTTCTAAAAATGACAAAAGACAAAAATGGTGTAAACAATAATAAAACCCTGCTTTCTTTTGAACAATGAGAAAACATATAAAGAGGAAGATTGTGGCTGCTGAAAGGTGATTATGAAATAGCAGGAGCTACTCCCAGTAATCAAAGGGGAAGTGAAGAAATAAGAAAACAATATTACACAATATTCTCTGAAGTTCTTCCATCATCTCCATCATGACAACTGTACCTGAAAGCTTGTTCCACTTCAGTGTCTGAAAAAACAGTCCTGGATAGTGGTCGTACTGCCCCTGTCGCTATGCCTTCAGATACACAGTCATGCACCTTATTCTTAAACTCAATGGATCCAGAGACCACTTTGGATAACATGACTCCATGGAAGCTTGTCCTCTTTAGGAACACCTCCATGCCTACATGTCAGATTCACTCACAGATAGTTTATGTCACAAAGACCAGCAACACTATACAACATATGTTATATAAAACTATAGTTCCTTTTACTAGCATCTTTGCCATAATAAGCAATTCCTAATAACCTGCAATATTGTTCCATAGCTTTCTGCAATGACTGGAATTTCAAACCTTTTATGGTTTGCGACCTTTAAAATGCTGTGGGCAGGGAGAGTAGGTTAACATAAGTATGGAATTACTTATGGTATTACTTTTCACAGTAATTACGAAATGTATGCACAATATGAGCAGTGTGCATGTGTAACTACAAAATAAATAGTGCCTTGAATTCTGCTTCTCCTTTGCTCTGCACAAACCAAGCAGTAACAAGCTGAGCATCTTACTCCTTTCAAATTTTTATGAGTCAAGAAACTTTATCGAATGATTTTTGTGCCATGATGCAGAAACGAACTGTCATTTTCTCCTGCCCAACTCTAACATTTATTTGGATGATTAACATGTCAACTGGCAATACCACTCTTTGCTGTGACACTTTTTTTTTTCATATCTAGTACACACCATTCAGCATGGTGTGCATTGGTGGTTAGCAGGATTCACGACCCATCAGTACATGGGTTCGATCGCGACATTTAACACCCGTGCTGTGACCCCCTTTTTGTGAGATGATGATGATGAAAGTGGAGTAATTGTTGGGATGCCATGGAGAAACCGGGGAAACCCCGGAGGAAAACTCCGTAATGCCTAGACCACGGCCTTGCCCAATACGTTGTAAATCTGAGCACCGCTCGGAATCAAACCCGGGACCCCAGTATTACAAGCCCAGCGTTCTAACCACTAGACCACCGTGGCGGTGCTGTGACACTAGTAACTCTACTATAAGCAATGTAATGAGAATTACATTTCTGTGTCTCTTGTTGTGGTCTTTATGGCAATTTGTCAACAGTGAACTGAGGGCAGTTCAAAAGATTACAGTGTTATGTCATGGAAGAAGGAAACATAAGTTTCTTCTGTGATGCACATGTTTACATGATCTTCTCTGGCTGTGATTTAACTCAGTATACTAATGTCATAATGAAGCATGTACTGGCACTAATCCTTGGCCTTTTAACAAACATTGCAGTGAAGAAATATGGAAACATTTTTATATTATGTTTTGTATCATGAGCATTACATCCCTCCTCCCTTAGTGATGCGATTCATGGCCTCCAGCACGTGTAGCCCGTCTACCTCACCTGATGTTCAAGCAACTTTGGCCAGTGTTTGGAGTGCAACAAAATATTCTGAAGGTTGATGTTATGAGGTGGGGATGTACTGTAGCTTCTTGAAGGATTACAAGTTCTATAAATACAAGTTCCCTGAACATGAATAGGACTGCCAAGTTCAAGTGTCTCATGTATGGACTAAACAATGATTGTTCAACATGGCAAGAGTGTGCAGTTATCAACAGACATTAAGAGAGTGGAATAACACTTTGTTATGACATAAGAAGTGTAATGAATAGAGAACAACTATTTTAAGCATTTTTATATCAGTAGCTTCAAGAACAGTAAAGAATAAATCATTATCAAATGTATTAGAATACTTAACAAATCCATAAGCTATAATGAATCCATGTGAAATCAGTAAAACTGTTACAATACCAATAGTGTTGTTCTTCTGAAGGTTAAATATTCCAATCTCAAGGAACCGTCCTCGAGGGGCAAGACACCGTACAGAGGCCTGCAGCTTTTCCTCAGTGAGGGAGTTGAAAACAAGGTCCACGCCTCTACCATTTGTCTCTGACATGATGAGTTGCTCAAAAGAGGTGTCTCGAGAGCTGCCAATATTGCGGTCTGTCAACTGGGAAAGAAGATTATATGCACACGTGTTTGACAATTTGTATATATTAAAAGTAAGAGAACTACCTTCAAATTACAAAACATTCTCAAAAGGGAGCATAAGATGACTTTACACATCTATTGTGAAAACACTCTAGGAATCTTACCTTCAAAGCCCAGTCCTTTCAATACCTGTTATGGTTGCATGTCTTAAAAGCGTATTATTTTACTTTTCATTTTCTGTGTTATAAATAAGGAAACATGGAGGAAGAAAAATTTCCATTTCTGAATTTACATTCTGGACAGTAACGAATATTATGTATTCTATAAGGAACATACATCCATTTATAACTTGCAGGTCTAGACAAAAAGTTCTGCACTTTCTTTAACAGTGATGTAACAGATTCTCCTTGCTGAACAGTCTCAACATCATACCAATGCAAATCCCTATAACATATGTGGTAAGTTAAAAACATTCCAGAATATTTCAAACAGTGTACTGTGCCTGGGTCAAAGGCATGGATCCTGTACTATCTCAATGCATGAATGAGAATATTAATTATGGTAAAAACAGAATTTATGATTCTAGCCACAGAACCAGTACTCAGTTCCTTGGTCCTAGACATTCTTGATCATCTCTCATATGTACAAAGAAAAACAGTATTTTGCCCAACACAGAGAAAACCAAAATGTCCCACAATCTTCTCATGTTGAGGCCCAAATTTCCCCCCATACTAAACACCAAAAATTCAGATTAGATATTTGGAACTTATGACAGCTGCTGCCACGTCATGCATCACTGAGAACCCCCAGAGTCCACCCAGGCCAAAACAAAAATTTAGAACCAAGAAATCAGATACAAATTATGAATGTTCCTGGTGGAGGTGTGGGAATATAATCTAACAGGACAAGCTGACAGCTGCCCCACAACCAGAAAGAAGATAAATAGGAAAATAGCACACATGTTCAGTCCTCCAACAGATGGCTGAGACAGTAACGCTGTCATGTGAGAAATTCCATAACAGAGCACATAAGGACATAGAACATACTTCATTATTTGAAAAGGAATTTGTTGCATTGTGACTAGAAATGTCTTGGCACTGACAGGCTTTTGTAGAAGGTGATTATGTGTATGTGCAACTGTTTGGTCATGATGTTGCCACAAGCAGGCAATGCAGAAAGCTGAGCGGGGATGGGGAGGTGGCCACCACCTACAGTATTTGAGTTCTGTGACAGTATGTTTCACATCGAAATTTCGACTTTTAATCAAAACAAACTCACATATAACACTCAGAATCTGTAAAATAATTTAATTTATCATGGCAGAAAATCTCCCCTATGTATGCATGAGGTAGGAAATAGGCTGTTGAAATACCTGTGGAAACTGTTTCTTCATGAATGACCGTTTCTCCTGCGTGCCAACAGTGGTGAACACTGTACAACCTGCGTGCAGA